TTCTAATGTTATTTTCAAATAGTTTTCAAAAACTTTGCCCATTAGGATTCGGTTTAGAGAATCTTGAATTATTGCGAACTCAATTGAGTTTTGGGATTGATTATTTTGCATACATGTGTTTCAAAATTGCAGGTTACATTCCCATTTCGATTTCCTAAATCATGTCAAACCCTAAACATCCTAGGACTTCTTCTAGTCATTCTAACGACCTTCTAACCCTATTCCTCCTCAAGCTCCAAATCCAAACGAGTATAATGTGGCCATCCTAAACTCATATTTTAATATGTCTGAGCGTCGTAAAGATGAACTCTACCATAGGTACTTGAATTCCTTCCAATCTTACAAAATCCGGGAAGAATGTAATCCCTCTGTTCAAGCCATGGTAGATATCAACTTTCAATACCTGTCAACTCTCAAGTCCTAGAAGTTTGATAAACTGTTTCATCTTAAACCTATTTTCTATCATTAGTTGGTCCGCATTTTCTACCCTAATGCGGTATGTATTCAAAATAAGAGTCAATGTGGGACTATAGAAATTAGATCCTACCTTTTAGGACAATATATTTATATTGGCTCCGAAACCATAGCTAGGCAATTTGGGTTAGATGATAGTGGTTTGTATAATGAGAAAGAAACTGCGGCATATCCCTATATTCCTAATGCTAGCGTTAGTACCTTACGTACCCATCACGGTCATTTTCTATATTTAATGATCACTTGGTGGTTTCGACCATCCGGATGTAGGTACTCCACTCTTCGTATCATGGATTTATGGTGGATGTATTGCATCCAGCATAATAGAAAAATAAATTTGCCATATATTATTTTTAGTGAACTAGTAGATACCATAAATGTTGTCCCCTCTAAACATGTTGAAACTTTAGTTTATGGGTGTCTACTTAGTAATCTCTTTATCAAACTCTGCCTTAGAGTTTTGCTAGACAATCCAATTCCCCTTTAGAACCAAATCAATCTCACCTCCTTGAAGAAAGTTGATTGGAAACAGGACGAGGAAACTGGTCAATTAACTCCACTAATCATCCCCAATGTTCAGAATCAATTGAAGGAGTATTTAAACAAGGTTAGAAGCCATTGATCAACAAGAAGAAACAAGAAGAAACACGAATCAAAAGATAATCAAAGAGAAAGCATCAAACTCATTGTTTGATCACTTCAAGCCTATTTTTCATTCAATATTCTTTTTTCTTTCAAGAACACCACTTGTACTCAATTGTATTCATTCTTGAGTGTTATTTCTTTGTTCTAGAATTGTGCAAACAATCTACCTTGTGAGGTTTTCCTTGTAAGTTTGCAAATTTGTGTAGTTCTCTTTGAAAAAGAGTGTTCTCAAGAATTGGGGTATATTCTTGTGGGAGTTGTAAGGTTATCTCTTTGGCCTCAAAAGAAAGAACAAATTAGTGAATTTGTTGGAAAATCCTTAGTGTGGATAGCTAAGGTAGTGGACATAGACTTTGGTTGAGAAAGTCGAACCACTCTAAATCGTTGTGCAATTACTTTCAATTTTCTGCAAAAGCTTTCACCAAAATTTTAATTGCCAATTCACCCCCTCTTGGCCATATTCGTGGATCGATTAACTCAACAGTGTGTAAATTAGAAAAATCGTTGTACGAATTGAAGCAATCTCCAAGGCAGTGGTACAAGCGATTTGACAAGTTTATGATAGGGCAGAAGTACACAATAAGCAAATATGATCATTGTGTGTATTTACGCAAGCTACAAGACGGATCATATATATATCTTCTTCTTTATGTTGATGATATGCTTATAGCTTCCAGGAGTCAGACAGAAATTGCGAAACTAAAGACTCAATTGAACAGGGAGTTTGAGATGAAGGATCTTGGTGAAGCGAAGAAGATTCTAGGCATGGAGATATCAAGGGATAAGAAATTGGGGAGGCTTTGTTTGTCTCAGAAAGAATATCTAAGGAAGGTACTAAAACATTTTGGCATGAATGAGAAGTAAAAACCAGTTAGTACACCTCTTGCTCCTCATTTCAAGCTCGGTGCATCCATGTCACCTAAGGATGATACAGAACGGGAATACATGTCAAAGGTTACGTATGCAAGTGTTGTTGGTAGCTTGATGTATGCAATGGTGTGTACGAGACCCGATATTTCACAAGAAGTTAGGGTTGTGAGTAGGTATATGCATGATCCTGTAAATGAGCATTGGCAAGCTGTGAAATGGATTCTACGGTATATTCTGAACACCGTAGATGTTGGTTTGGTCTTTTAGCAGGACAAACAAGATGGTTAGTGTGTAGTTGGGTATTGTGATTCAGACTATGCAGGTGATTTGGACAAGCGTCGATCAACTACTGGTTATGTGTTTACATTTTCAAAAGCACCAGTCAGTTGGAAGTCCACCTTACAGTCAACAGTGGCTTTGTCTACTACAGAGATAGAGTATATGGCAGTTACAGAGGTTGTTAATGAGGCAATTTGGCTTCAAGGGTTGTTTGGTGAATTGGGAATGGAACAGAAGCACATCAAAGTGCACTGTGACAGTCAGAGTACTATTCATTTAGCAAAGAATCATGTTTACCATGCAAGGACGAAGCACATCGATGTTCGATATCACTTTGTACGAAAGATTATAGAAGAAGGTAGAGTCATAATCCAGAAGATTCGGACACTACTGAAGTTTGGATTTTTGAGAGATGTGTGTGGAATTTGCCAAGGTGGAGATTTGTTGGTTTTTTGGCAAATTTTGAATCCCACGTTGGTTTTGTATAAGAAGGAGGAAAACTTCTTTTGTTATAAATAGAGCCATCCTCCTTAGTTTAACATCCCATAAATATAAGTCTTCTTCTATATTAAAGGTTATTTGTACTCTTTCTCTCTCTTTGTAATATTTCCTCTATTAGTGAAATATTATTTTAGTAGTGTTCGAGGACGTAGGCATAATTTTAGCCTAACCTCATTAAATTTTGGTGTTCTCTTTATATCTATTTAATAGCTATTGTCGGGTATAGTTGTTGTTAATTATTTTCCTATTAAAATTATTTATCTTGGTAGTTCTGTCTAAGGAGAATAGGTTTTAAGAAGGACCATTGTGACACATCCACTCTTTTCTGAGAATCTACCTTGGGGTGATTTTTAGTACAATCATTTTCACACTAGTCACCTAGATAATAATTTTTCAAGGTGAATTTGTTATTATTGGTGGAAATTAATCCAAAATTCCACAACAAAAACATGTATTTTGTTTATCTCAAACTCGTTTTGATTTGACTTGAATTTAACCTGTCAAAAACTTACCCGCACATGTTCTGAAAAAGAAAATAATCTAATAGAATAAAGTTAAAATTTATAAGATTCAAATCAAATGTGTATCAGTAGACCGTAATTAAGGTAATTGTTTTTTTATATTTATTATATATTTATAATTTATGATTGTTCATTTCAGATTCGAACTTAAATTAGAGATAAATTGTGATTTACCATCACGTTGACTATGTATGGGTTCAAGCGTATATTTTTAAATGCATGAGAATTTATCAAATCAATTATCAATTATTATGTTAAATTAATATATTATTATAAGCAATATTTTGATTCTTTTAAAATAATCATTAATATACAATTTTATTTTAATTGTAAAATTTATGGTTTTCAAAAATTAAAATAAGGACTTCTTAAAAAAATATAGAGGCAACCACCGAGGCCAGGTACCAGGTGCCATAATTGATATGAAATTCGGGGGGTGAGATCTGGGTATGGGCAAGGAATGAGTGGTGCGGCAAAAGGAATAATAATTAATGACATAATTCATGTATATTTTTTTATGTATTTGTATTTTTTTTATTGTGTTATCTTTAGAATATTTAAAATCAATATAAATTTTAAATATTATTGTAATTGTTTATTATATCTAAAATCATGTTGAGCATTATTAGATCTAATAATAAAGTTGGTCGAATAGCAATTCAAGTCCCTCTTGGTTTAAGTATTTTATTATTTTTGTTTATCTAAATAATGGTGGCGCGTAGGAAACTGAAACTTATGAGTGAACGTGATGGCGAAGGCGATGGTGGGAAAGGAGCCACGTATCACACATCACATGAAGTCCCCTCTCGTTATACATAGAGAATGAACGTATGATTTTATCATTTTATATAGGAGTATGAATTTAAATTTTTAAAATTTTAAAGGTGAATTTGAACTCATAATATTTTAGAAGAGATAAAAATATACTTGTATGTGTTGACATTAGGGGTGTAAACGAGCCGAGTCGAGCTCGAGTATTGCTGAGCTCGACTCGACTCGACTCGAAAATTCTGAAATGGAGTTCGACTTGACTCGAAAACTCACAAGCTTAAAATTTTCAAGCTCGACTCGAACTCAAAATCCTGAACTGAAGCTCGTGAGCAGCTCGAAAAGGCTCGAAATAAAAAAAATTCTTAAACTTAACTCGATTGAAACCTCAAACTCGAACTCGAACGTGAACCTTAAATACATGAAAATCTTGTTGTATTTTGTTTTAAAAAAATCAATACATAAATGTCAATATTATTAATAATTTAATTTTAAAAAAATAAAATCTTAATATATTTATTTCGAGTTGCTCACGAGTTTTTCGAGTCGAATATCAAGTAGCTCGTTTCGACTTGTTAAGAACTTGAGTCGAGCTCGAGTCGAGTCCATTCGATCATAGTATTTATCAAACATTGATCGAGTCAATCTCGAATAACTCACGATCTATCACGTCTCATTTAAAGCTCTAGTTGAAATCACCCTTAACCCACTACTCTTTCATTCATTTCCCTCATTAATTATTATTCTCAAACAATTTACAAACATTCCCATCTTTCTCATTATTTCAAACTTTTTTTTAAGCTCCACTTGCAATTTCTCGAGTATTTATCTCATGGGATGTTGAAGAATTGTGTTAAAAAAAAGGGGATTGAGTTAAAAAAAAATTTGGATACTCAAATTCTAAATAAATAAAATATAAATGAATAAATATAATTGTTTATTTTTAGATTTATTTGTGCTTGCTTTATAGTATTTATTCTTTATTCATATATCTTTATACAATATTTAAATTAAACATTACTATTTTAAAATTTGGAACTTATAACCTCTAAAATATACTAATTAAATTAAGGTTTTGTCAATAACATTGTAACGGATATTAAAAGAACATTTTCACTAACACATTCATAAACGAATGATCAAATATATTCGTAAACAATTATAAATCTAATCATAAATATTAAAAAAAATAACTGCATATATTATATAAGATATAAAATAATTAAAATATTGATCATTGTATTATAAATAAATAAAATAACTGTAGACATTGAATCTCGTTATGACATTTTTAAACCGTAAAATCATTAATTAGTCAGACTTTGATTGAAATATTAAATTAACATTAATTTAAATCAATTATTTAAGGATTAATTATCAAATATGTGCTCAAAATATATCGTTTTTATCAAATAGGTGTCCAAACTTTCTTTTGAATCATCCATAAATCTAATGTTACAAACATTATCACTTTTGGTGTCTGGACTGTAACTGCAGTTAAAATTTCTCATTAAATGACATGTGTCACATTCTGGTATTTTTAAATTTTTTATTAAAATTAAAAAATATATAATAATATTAAAAATAATTGAAATAGTCCCAAAACTTTGAAAACCCTCGTCTGTTTGTTGTCGATGAAACTCTACCCGACCTCATCCCCCGACTATCAATTACCCTATGAAATCGTGACCAATTGGCTGTAAATCTATGTTTTGTACCTCACAAACCCTAGGTTGAAAATCACAATCCCACGCAATTCTAATGGTCAATTGTCGGCAACTATGGCAACGTATGACTAGAAAGATGATAGTGACAATGTCTACGGCGGTGGTCGTGACTGGTAAAGGCAACGACGATAGGTTAGGGTTAGGAATTTAGGATTATTAAAGATTTGGTTTTTTTTTTGTAATTTAAGATAACTTAGGGTTTTTAAAATATAAAAATATTTTTAAATTTTTTAAAAAATTCCAAATTGCTAGAATGTGACACATGTCATTTAACTGAGAAAATTAATGGCAGTTACAACCCGAGCACCTAAGGTGGTAATATTTGTAATGTTAGACACATAGATCATTAAAAAAAGTTTGGGTACATATTTAAAAAAACAATATAATTTGGACACTTATTTTATAATTAAGCCTTAATCTACTTGATAAATTTCAAGGTATCATAAAAAAAACAAGGTATTAGTTTTAGGTATTTAAGGTAGTGTAAGAGTGTTAACATTTATCCACATGTAACCTGTATTTTCTTTACATTGAAATGAATTATTAACTTTACGAGAGAGACCCAATCTATATAGATATTATGTACTTTAGGAGGGTCCATTGGCTCTTGAGGTCCATTAAATTTCCCTAGTTTGAACATGTTTTCATGGACAGAAATATTGAGACCGCCCCTTCCATAAAATCATTGAGTGAAAGCAAAATTTCCCCCACTTTGATGTGTGTTGTATTTTCATATTTTTGGCATTTCCTTAATTTTAAGTATTGTGGACCAAGCTGAGATTGACTCTTCAAGTTTTAAGTCGGTTTTTATTTGCCCACTAAGTCATGCAAATAAAAAAAAATTAGCGATGAATTCTAATAAAATATATTTTTTTTAATTAAATTTTGTGACATTGAAGTAACTGTCCCTTTTTTCCATATGTATGGGGTAAGGGGAGGTACGATAGTAGGCTACCCCCAACACCAGGTTGAGAGCAGCTTCCGTAAGAGACCTTCGAATTATGAAATGCCTTCCGTGGGACTCGATCCCATGACCTCAAGATTAAGAACCTTGTGCTCTACCAGGTTGAAGTGATAACTTTTAATAAAAATATATATATATTATTGAAACTTGTCATACCTAAATAAGGAGTTTCAAGTCACTGTAGTAAATATTGTAATTTCTAAAATAAATAAAAAAAATCTGATGTCGTATTAGGTTAAATAATTAGTCCAAGTACGGTATTGGGACAATTTTGTCTTTTCTTTTGATATTGTGATTAATAGGTCTTCCTAATATTATTGAACCATTTGAAGTAAAAAATCCAAAGATGTCTCTCAAAGCCAATGCACCCATCAATGGTGTTTTATTAAGATCTGATTTAATTTGGATCAATTACAATAAACTAATACTGTATGAAGTTATCATTATTATTTGATAAATTCTTTTGAGATGATTTTAAAAAATCTGAAATTTTATTGAAAATTAATAAATTTATGGAAATATCACTCGATAGCATCGTAATATAAGTGATCATGAATTGGGCCAGTTCAATTTTTTTTTGTCCACTTAAATCTAACTTGAGTTTAAAACTCCCTTTTCAGCCGGTTTATAGCATTGTTTATAAAATTCAAGTCCATATATCTTCCATTCTCTCTTTTAACCACCCACTTATAGGCTTATAGCAAAGGGTGAAGGCCCAAATAGGGTCTAACTCTCCTCCCTCACATGCGAGACTGATCTTTTAAAACTGTCAAATAAATATTTAATTTTTCAAATTTACCCTCAATCTTTATAACTTATCAATTTGTTCCCTGCTATTTTTTTTTTACTCCCAACCAGCTTAGAAACCTTAATTTTATGATATTTAACCTTAAAAATCCTTGGGAGTATTTGGTTCACAAAATGTACTATTAACTCCAAAAATAAAATGTTATATTGATCATTACTTTTAAAATGATAATATAATATAATTTGAGTAACTTGTCATTGAAGGGACAAAATCTAAATTCAATGACCAAGTTAATATGGTAGTTAGGACCATGACAAATGCGGACAACTAAAAAGACTTGGGTACCAAAATGCGCCAAATTGTGAAGTTTAAAGGTGTGAAGAATGGGGATGGTCATGGGTCTTGTCAGATCAAGGTTTTGGTCCATTCGAGCTCGATCCGAGCATGATACATTTCCTTCCACCCATCACCCTATTCGACTTAAGTTTAAAGAATTTGATTCGAAATTTGATTCGGTTTTTAAGATAAAAACTCGGTTTGGCTTCATGCGAATCGAGCCAATATACTCACTTTATTTGGTAAAATATGAACTTAGTTGAAAAATTATAGAAAGATAGATATTATATCAATTATTCTTAAATATATTTTTCACTCTAAACTAACCAACTTGTCTCGGTCAGAACTAAACTTTTGTTTTTGAAAAATCAATCATATAAGATTAGACGTCAACATGTGGGATTCACATCAAATGGACTGTATAGTCAAGAAGCATAATTTTCAAAAACTGGTTGTCCTTGTTTGCGCATGAAGTACAGATCCCTAGACATACCCCTATGTAATAAGGTTTTAGAAATGTCAACAACCACATCTTAAACGTTACATAAGATTTTAGACTAACTGTGTATCTTCGTAATAAACAAGCAACAACGATGGTTTGACTGTCCAACCTCCGAAGAAGCCAATGGGTTACAAATAATGCGAGTCCTGTACATTTATACGAGTCAATGGGCATCCCATTGACAGTAGAACCGACCACCATGGGCATCCCAAAGGTGTATATGGCTTTCCTTTCGGTGGTGGTTATCATGTTCCGGCAGATGATACATGGATCTCCGGCTTGCCATTTTAGCATTCTCCAAGAGTTTAGAATCGGGTATCCATGGATGGAACTGGAACAGCTCCGATTGCTGCTCCTTGACAGGCATCACCTGTGACCATACCTCTGCATCAAATGGAAGAGTAGTCCGGCTGGAACTTGGGAACACAAGACTTACAGGGACAATATCTGACGGTTTGGTGAGATTGGGGCAACTCAGAATCCTGAACCTCTCATAATTCTCTCCACGGTACTATTCCTACCAACCTGTTTCATTTTTGGAACCTGGAAATCCTCGACTTGAGTAACAAGTATTTCGTGGGCTCACTTCCTTGTGCAATTCGTTTACCATCACTTAAGTATCTCGATCTCTCCAAGAATTCTTTCTCTAGCTTCCTTGGTACAGAATTCTGTCAAACTTCATCTCGTATCCGCTATCTTAATCTTGCAAATAACTTGTTCGGAGAAGGTTCGTTACGTTTGGACAACTGTAGTTCATTGCGTTTTGTTTTCCTTAATGGAAATGGTTTGTCCCGGAGAGTTTGTTCCAGCTGCAACATCTCAGAGTAGTTCACCTTCAGCAAAATATGTTTTCTGGGCCTCTGAGTTGCGGAATCGGTAGCCTTTCTAACCTTGTTGAACTTGACATCTCCTCGAATGACTTCCATGGAAGTCTCCCAGATGTTTTCGGGAGACTGAGAAAGCTAGAATCCTTCTCTGCAAGCTCAAATAGTTTACTGGATTATTAAAATAGAGTTTGTGTTTTCAAGACAATAATAACCATATTCTCAACCAAAGTAGTTTTAGGATTCTTAAAATAGAATTTGTGTTTTAGTACTAAATATGGAGTAACATTTTCTACCATTACAGAAATGCCCGTCCAACTCAGTTGGTAGAGCATAAGACTCTTAACCTTGTGGTCGTGAGATCGAGTCCCACGAAGGATATTTCATAATTCGGAGGTCTCTCACGGAAACTGCACTCAACCTAACGTTGGGGACAGCCTACTATCATACCTCTCTCTGACCCCATTACATATGGGAAAAATGATTAGCTATTTATTTTCTACCATTACACAACAAACTTAGTTATCTATTAATGATGTTTCAAAAAACCTCAAGTGACGTTGGATAATTAGGGAATAGATAAAATAATGATACCACTTCCCTACATTTAACTGTGCTTTCCCAGCGTAATCCGAACGTGAATAACGGATGGAGCAATGGGATAAGCAGCCTTGATAATTTGTATGTTTTTTCATATTTTTTTATAGGCATGTCACATTCACTTAAAATAAGGTGAAATTCTATTGAATCATTTAAATGCGATCATAGTACAATAATTTGACCTTCATATAATCTCAAATTATAAAATTCCAATATAAATCCAAATAATAGGACAACAAATCCTGATGATAGTGGAGGCCGCACTACAAATGGTTCTGGCCTACTCAGGTAGAGTCGGCCATTATTGTTGCACAAAAAATTCGAATATCCGATTTTGCGAAAAAAATATCTGAAACCGGATTTGGGAAAAACCAGTTTTTTTTAACCAGATCGGATTTTTTTAAACCGGTTATTTTAACCGGTTTGGAGAAAAAAACCTAGATCGGTTTTTTTACCGGATAAAAAATCGGTTTGAAAAAAACCGGTTAAAAAACCGGTTTTTATCCGGAAAAAAACCGGTCTGGGTTTACAAAAACTAGCCGTTAATATAGCCGTTGGGAGGATTTTGTAACCGTTTTTGACCGTTTTTTTCTTTAAAAAATTATCATTTTACCACCCTAAACATGTATAAATAGGTTGGGGATGTATTTTGTTGATTACAAATTTCTCAAATCTTATTACACAACACTTAAACATCTCTCAAATCTTACTTTTGTAATTTTTTGTTCATCATGAGTAACACGGCTGAATCTTCCGTCGGGGGAAACCTTGAAGTCGTGAGAGTGATCGAACACACTCGAAACAAAGACATTTGGGATCACTACGATTTATGTGAGATGTCAAATGGCTCGAGGAAGGCGCGTTGTAAACTTTGTCTAAAGTTTTTTGCATCGGAAGGAAAACACAACGTTGAAGAACCATTTGACAAAATCATGCAAGGCACTTCGCTCAAGATCAGATCCTAGTCAATCGAATCTTACACCGCAAGGTGGTGTTTTTGTTTACGACAACGAAAAATTACGAGAAGCGTTTACAAAGTTCGTGATTACAAAAGCATTGTCGTTCGACCACTTTGATGATGAAGATTTCACGATAACAATTCAACAACTAATGCAACCACGTTATACTCAAGTAAGTCGTACTACCCTTAGAAGAAATGCTATAAAAATGTGGCGTACGGCGAGGGAAAAAATGATTTTAGGATTCCAAGAACATCGTTATGGTGTGTCGCTTACATGTGACGTTTGGAGTTCCCCTTATAATACCGGAAATTCTTTTTTAGCCGTTACGTCACATTGGTTAGATCAAGATAATTGGCAAATGATGAAAAGAACAATCGCGTTTGAATTATTCGGTAAGCCGCATACCGGTGCTAATTTATTTACACTTTTAAAAAGGGTAATTTGTCTTTATAAATTAGAAAATAAAGTTTTTTCTATATCCTTTGATAATGCATCGAATAATACAAACGCGGTTCCAAGATTGAAAATATTACTTTCACCGATTTTAGACGGTGCGTTTTTTCATACCCGTTGCGTTGCACACATAATTAATTTATCCGTGCAAGCCGGTTTGGAGGTTATTGAGCCGATTAGATTAGAATTTAAAACAATAATAAAATCGGTTCTTTGTAACAACAACAAAAGACTAAATGATTATAAACGATTTTGTAAGTCTGTTAATAAAAAAGCTTTGGGTCCTAATTTGGATTGTCCAACTCGTTGGAACTCAACTTGGATGATGATGCATACTGCTTTAAGGCAAAGGGAAACATTGCAAACATTTCACGATTGGCTTTTCGAGAGGGGTCATGTCCCAAACATTTATCCGGATTCGAGTTGGGAAACTATAGCCAAAATAACCAATTTGCTTGAGGTTTTTAAAAATGCAACAACTTTTTTATCCGGTGTTTATTACCCTACTAGCCCGTTGGTTCTTAATCAAATATTTTTGTTGGCTACCCGACTAAATGACTTTGAATTTGAAACCGAAGTTTTTCAAGAAATTGGCTTTGCAATGAAGGAAAAACTTTTAAAATATTTTAAGGATATTCCCCCCATTTTTACTTGTGCCGCCGCTTTAAACCCAACGTTAAATGTTGGTGGGGTTGAAACACTAATTGAACAAATTGCGTTTGCTTTTAATCTAACCGATGATGAACCCAACTTTGTCCAAAACCAAATAAATTATTTTAACAAATGTTTTCGAGACATGTTTGCAATTTATTTAACTAAATACGGATCAAGTAGTGTAATACACGATCAAATGAGAATGAATGCGGAATCATCTAGTAGACGTCCAAGTAACATAAATTTGAATCTTTTTAACACTCTTGTAAATTCCCAATCCAAACGATCACGTACTACCACCCCAATTAGCGAGTTGGGAAATTACATGTCATGCGATTTTCTATCAAAAATGATATTTGAAGAGTTTGAAAGTTTGGATATTTTGGCTTGGTGGAAAGAAAATGAAGCACAATTTCCGATTCTAGCCGCCATGGCCCGTGATTTACTAACCGTCCAAGCTTCTACGGTAGCTTCGGAATCCGCTTTTTCTGTTAGTGGCAGGGTTATATCGCAACGGAGATCAAGACTAAGTCCCGAGTCGGTGGAAGTATGCATTTGTTTGAAGGATTATTTGGATGGAGCGGCTCGTAAGCAACATATCACCACCCTAGAAGATGCAATTGATATCGATTTGGAAGCAAACTTACACATTGAAGAAGTCGAACTTGGAATATCCCCTCCAAACGAAGAAGGCGAAGATGATGAAGAAGAGATGGCAATGTAGTTTATTTTATAACTTTATTTCAATTATCGTAAACTTTGTTTCAATTATCGAACTTGAAGTTTTTAAGTATTTGAATTTATCGAACTTGGAAGTTTTTAAGTATTTGAATTTATCAAACTTAGAAGTATTTAAGTATTTCAATTATGTTGAGTTAATTAAGTATTTCAATTAAGTATTTGAATTTATCGAACTTGAGGTTTGATGCTTTCTCTTTGATTCTCTCTTGATTCTAGTTGCTTAATGTTTCTTGTCTTTGACCAATGGCTTCTAAGCTTGCTTAAATACACCTTGAATCACTTCTGAACGTTAGTGATAATTAATGAAGATAATATAACCGTTTAAGTGTGAAAACATTTAATAAAAATGCGGAGCTTAGGGGAATCGATACCCTCTCATAGGGAATCGGTTTCTTCTCATAGGGAATCGATTCCCTAAGTGTAAAATTCAAATATTTCGACCGTTGAATAGGGGGGAATCGGTACCCCTATGGGGGAATCGGTTCCCTCCGAGCATTCTGGAAATCTCGGAGCCAAACCATTCAGTGAGGAATCGGTACCCCTTGGGGGGGAATCGATTCCCTATGAGCAATCTGGAATATTAAAATCAATTTTTTTATAACCGATTTTTTAAAAAAACCGGTTTTTTTAAAACTGAAACCGGTTACACCGGTTAGGATATCCGACCCTCCAAACCGGTTAAAAACCGAACCAGTTATTTTATAAACCAGTTTTTTTCTATGAGAAAAAACCGGATCGGATAAAAACCGATCCAGATCGGATTGAAATCCGACAAATGTTCATCTCTAATTGTCCCCATGGGAATCCAATTCCTAACCAACTGAAAAGTACTTTTTTCCACATTCTTAATAATTAGGTAATACATTTAACCCTCTAACTCGATTCTCCAGTTACAAACCGCACCCAAAATTTCACATTAATCGAAGAACAAATTTAATTGATTTAGTTAAAAACTATACGAATCCGATTTCCTATATAAGGAGCATATAAGTTTAAAGCAAGCTAGACGAAGCCAAACACTGATATACGGGCAATTCAGCCTCAGGAGGGGCAAACAGAATAAAGCATGATCCATATGGTAGAAAACAACAAAACTACATAAAGTATCAAACGGAGAATTCAAAGAAAGCATATTCCAAACCTTAAGCTTAGGAAACATCTCAAATCACCAGCTCCCTTATTTTCAACAAGACAATTAAACAAAGTGTGCAGATAACTTTTACAAGTAAGGTTCATAAAATGAGGCCTGATCTACTAAAACGAGTAATGGAAGGCAACAGCAGGACCAAGCTACTTCTCCATACAAAAACAACCAGAGAAGTGAAACACTACCGTGAAGATTAGCGTCTTCAGGCTTGTTTCTCCTCATCATGTTTGGGAGCTTCTTTGATCTCATCTGTCCCATCATCCTATAATAGATAAAAACATACAAATAATTAAAAAAATAAAGTACACAAAATGAAAAATATAAAGGTCAAAAAGGAAAAAAGAAATGCATGGGGTCTGACCTGCATATCCGAGGTCCACAGAGTGAGGTTATCACGGAGAAGTTGCATTATCAAAGTGCTGTCCTTGTATGAATCCTCCCCAAGAGTATCCAGCTCTGCAATGGCTTCGTCGAATGCCTGAGGAAAGAAACAAAAGATGTTGACTAATAGAACTTGAAAACAAGCTAATGGCACTACAAAGGAAGATCCAAGATAGGAATTTTAATACTCACACCACAAAGCACTCCGATGTTTTTGACTAAGATGAATATAGAGAGCTAAAATTCCAAATTCTCGTTATCATACCTGTTTCGCAAGAGTGCAAGCACGATCGGGAGAGTTCAAGATCTCATAGTAGAAGACAGAAAAGTTCAAAGCCAATCCTAATCGGATAGGATGAGTTGGGGCCAGCTCAACAGTCGCAATGTCCTAAAAAGAAAACAGAACAAAAGGTTACAACTTAGACAAAGGAGCCGATATTATGGACAAAACACGTCATAATCACTTTAGCAAAGGTAAGTATCTTCTATTCAGATGTAAAAGAGTGAAATATGCAAATAATAATAATATCTTCAGATACAAACTGATTGCAAACGTTAAAGAAAAGTGATAACAGTCAAAAGGTCTCCATAAACATGAATAACATCGATTTGTGACCTGACCAGAAAAAAGGCCCAATAAAGCAAAGCAGCTAATTATACTTTTCCCCTATGTTTATTAAGCGAACATAGACCGCCAAAATGATTTTGAATTTTAGATCGATGGGGCTAAGTAAAGGGGTAACCTTTGATCAGTAGATATACTCATATAAACACAATTTATCTTGGCTTTAAGATACTCAGCTATGCACGTCACACATAAGTGATAGCTTTATATGCTTCTTTCTCGTAGATTTACATATGTTTTGATGTTTTAAATTGTGAGCTTCGTTTATTTTATTGGATCTTTCTTGTGCAACACCAAGAAGAATTTTAATTTTTAATTTGAGTCAAACCCTAGAAATAAAGCAAATCAAGGCAAAGAAATGCACAAGATCGAAAACGAAATGATGAAAGAACCACAAACCTGAGCAGATTTATAGGCAGTGAGCGTGTTCTCGGCAGCCGCTTTCCGGTCATCGCCAATCTTGAACTCAGCCAAGTACCTATGGTAATCACCCTTCATCTTCAGGTAAAATACCTTTGAATCACCGGTCCCAGCGACCGGAACGAGCTTCTCCTCGAGGAGCTTCAAGATTCCGGCGCAAATCTCGGACAATTCGGCCTCGATCTTGGCCCTGTACTCACGAATGACAGAGACGTGGTCGGTGTTGCCGCGTCCTTCCTCCTTCTGCTCGATGGAGGAGATGATCCGCCAGGAGGCACGGCGAGCGCCGATCACGTTCTTGTAAGCGACGGAGAGGAGGTTCCGCTCCTCGACGGTGAGTTCGTCGGGGGCTGGTACGGCGGAGACTACGTTCTCCATGAACTTGACCATCTCCTCGTAGCGCTCGGCTTGCTCGGCGAGCTTCGCCAGGTAAACGTTCTCGTCACGTGCGGAATGCGTGGCCATGGTTTTTTTGGGTCAGAGATTTTGGATCGGAAAATGGAAATGAAAAGATTTGAGAGATTTGTTCAGTTGCGGAGAAATGAGAGTTGGCTTTTGGATGAAAACCAAAGGAACTTTATTTATAAAACAAAAAAATATAAAATTTAAAAGGGTTAATTCCATCATACATCCTCATACTAGTATCTATAATTTAAAATGATCCCTACGTTTTAAAACATTAAATAATAATTTCCCTAAATTTCCGTGGCGTTGCCTTTTTTTTGTTAGATTAAAATTGTTAATACCATAAATAGTATATGTTAGATTAAAATTGTTAATACCATAAATAGTATATGTATATAATTTAATTTATTTACATTGAAAATATTTCATATCAGATCTAAATTAATAGTCAAACTATAACATGAATTGATTAATATAAAATAATTAACACAATATATATATATACATACATATATTAAATCACGATTTCAAAAAATTCCTTAACTTGAAAAGTGAGTCCGAATGAGCCCGACCTTTCAATTTTAGAATCGAAATCAGAATCGGACCTAAGTTTTTATTTTAACTTTTTAAAAATTTTGAAGTGCGAGCAGAATGTAAGATTATTATTGAGAATATGGTTATCAGAATATTACATTATTAATATGTTATTGAGAATATTGTATTAACTTATTTGATTTATTTGGTAGGTATGTAAGATTATAATGTTTGATTGATAAAATATAAGATAAGAAAAATGCATATTTTGTTAAATTATCCTTGAGATATATTTTTCTAACAAGTAAAATTTTTAATCTTAAAGTCAAAATATTTACACGGAATTTCATAGAAAATAAAATTTTATATTCTCTAATATATATATATATATTCAATAAAATTTGTACACAAACAACTTAGTATATATATTTTTAATTTCTTTGAAAATACATAAACATACTTACACCAATATAATTATGTGTTTATTTTTATGTATTAAGATATTGAGAGATATACATACTTACACTGGTGTAAGTATGTGTTAATTGCCAATGTATTGAGAGATATACATACTTACATCTGTATAAGTATGCATTAATTTCTAAGATATTGAGAGATGTACATAATTACACTGGTGTAAGTACATGTTAATTGTTAAGATATTTAGAGATGTACATACTTATACCGGTGTAAATAAGTGTTAGTTGATATATATATTTTTATTTTATTCATGCTACATGTATGAGTTGCACAACTAAATATTATATCAAATTATACAAGATTAATAGAAAACATAAAAAATTATAATATAGAAAACTTTTTATAAAAATTAATCCTAAAAAAATAAATGTAATAAAATTCATATAAAAATAAAACTTGAATCAAGCACATACATAATAAATACTCAAAATAAAATAAAAAAAAATACTAATGTATGTATGCACAAAGGAAGGATCATTTTGAAATGACCATATTGTTTCAAGGCTATTTTTGTTTTAAATGGAGGGAATTGATAAATACCTATGAAAACAAGAGGAATGGCATTCCCGAAAAAAAAAACCTAAATAGAAGGCCACGGAAGGTAATGCTTTATTTCCCTTGGAGGGAATGCTCATGAACTAAACATATAATTTCGGAAAAGATTATTTTCCTTAATATTGATCTTTTCGCGAACCAAATGTCCATGAGGGTTAAAGAAAAAAACAGAAGTGGAAGCTTTGAACATTTCATTTAACAAGTGGCGTAGTTGAAACCAATTGGCTCATTGCAATTCCAAATACAGCATGCAATCTCACACACTAATATGTTGCCATGAAGATCTTCCCTTTGTCCTAGCTAGGAGAAATAATCCGGATTAGTATCCGGGCCTTTCATGTAATCACTCTTACGAGATGACATTCGAGGTTGAAAACCCTACCGGTAATCTCCGTTGGGTTAGATGTTTCTGCAAAGCTTATAACAAGTTAATGGTTTTAGAAAACAAATCCCAATACTTAGCAAGGAAGGAAGAGTGAAGTCAAACCTTAATAGTTGCCATTTTCCCTTTCCCGACAAACATGAGGTGGTTTTGATTCTTAGGAACAAGATATTCCTTGGCATGAAAGAAAGACGGTCCATTTCAGCCTACATAATGCACTTAGCATTGCATGCAACCCGAAGATAAGGGAAAGGCTGAGAAAATGAATCAATTTGCTTAGTAATTTAGAGTTGTTGTTCCTTTCATTTCCAGTTTCGATCATTTGGGTGTTGGGTTTTCCATATCAAAGAGTTGAACGGAGATATGAAGCCATTGATTCAGATTCATATCCGAGCAGATATTGTGGGATTGTCTATCTGGTTTCGAAATGTAAACTCTTTCACGCGTCAAACCGTCGGCTTTCACATGAGTCTAGCCATTGTTTTTCACTGGAAAATGGAATCCATTGGTTCAACGACGATGATTTATACAGGAGAAAGTAGCAGTGCTGCTGCTGCTGCTGCTGAAAATGGTGTTTTCTTAACTTGGAAGGATTTGTGGGTGACTGTTAGTAATGGTAAAAATGGCAGACCAATCCTTCAGGGCCTCACTGGCTTTGCACGTCCCGGTGACTGTTATTAATGAGTTATTTTTCCTTTTAAGAGTTATAATTTAATAATTCAGATAATTTTAGTCTTAAAATTTATGTATTCTATTAATTTAATTTTAATCTAAAATATTTCAATAAATTTATTAATTTATGTTTTTTTATCAATTTAATCTTTATTATTTTCTTTAAATTATTTTATTATTTTTCTATTACTTTATTGATACAATATTGATTTAAAATTAACTTATTTTATGATAAAATACAATTATCTGATTGCTGCTTTCATCATAATACTGTGAAAGTGAAAAAAATTAATGAAATTTTAAACACAAAGATGTAAATTTATTGAATTGTTTGAAATTAAAATTAAATTAATAAGATGTATATGTTTTAGGGAATAAAGTTATTATTATATTATATCATTTTGAATAATGTTTAATAAAATATAATATACTAATAATAATATTTTAATTGATCTATTAAATTATATATTTTAATTAATAAGATGTATAAGTTTTAGGGAATAAAGTTATTATGATATATTTTTTCAAAGTGACATGTTTATGAAGAAAAAATAATAAAATAGAATTATATTAGATAATTTTATTGTACTTTCAGCAATTGAATTAAGGGTAAACTATACTGGTGATCACTAAACTATAGTCAAAATTTATTTTAACCACCAATGTTTTAATTTGATCAAAAAGACCATCCAACTTTCAAAAGTATTTAAACAAGTCACTCTCTGTTAATTTTTAACAAAGATGGTGACGTGACCATTAATAAAAATGACATAATTATACATTTGATCTTCAATATTTACGAATTCTTTAAATTTAGTCCTAAATTTATTTAATTTAAAAAATAACTCCCAATCCTGAGATGTAATGTGTCACTATATTATTGGAAGGTTAATTTAATTTAATTTAATATTTTAATTAAATAATTTTTCTCATCAATCATGTGGTGACACATCACCACTTTATTTAAAGAGAACAAAATTACCTCGAGTTCTTGCCAAGGGAGTTGAACTAGGGACTTTCCCCGTAACCTTGGGCAAGCCTTTACAGACAAGGCAAACTCCTATTTTGAATTCAAATTGGACAGACTTTTATATATTTTGTTTGTGATTAAACATATCTAATAAATAGACTCTATTTTACACACACACACACACACTAAATTATAGTTAATTTAAGATTTAAAATGAAAAATAAATTTAATATTTTTATTTTTAGTTTAAATTATTTTTATTTTATTGTTTGGATTCTCTAAACAATTTTAATATGATTTTTTAATATCATTTGTATATTATTATCTAAAAATAATTTTAAAAAATAATTTAAATAAATATATTAAACTCATTTTTATTTTGTGATTTGAATTCTCTAAATAATTTTAATATGATTTTATTTTTAATATATTTTATATATTTTTATTTTTAAATAAAAATGGTAAACTCATTTTTATTTTTAAGACTTGCATTAACTATAATATATATATATGAAATAAATTTTATTAGATTTGTTTTTGATAATTTAATATATATGTATATATGCTTGTGTAAAATAATCTCAAACACTATATATAAAATATTGTACACTTTAGAACAAAATAGATGGGCTGGCTCAATGGCAAAGGCTTGCCCAAGGACCCTTGGGGTCCCCTGTTCTAAATCTCCAAGCAGCTGCTTGTAACTTTAATTTGTTTTCTCAAACCACCTGATTAGTCGGAAAAGTTAATTAGTAAAATATTAAAATTAATTAAATTCAGGCTTTACTCGTGGCATCATCATATTGGAGGATTATATTTATTTAATTGAATTAAAATAGTGATTAAATTGATAGAATGTATAAATTTTGAGGACCAAATGTATAAATTATGCCATTTTTATTAATGATTATGTCATCATCTCCCTTAAAAATTAACGAAGAGTGGCTTGTTCGAACCATTTAAAAAATTAGGTGGTTTTTTTAATCAAATTAAAACATCGATGTTTAAAATAAATTTTTATCATAGTTTGGTGGTCACCCGTGTAATTTACCCTTGAATTAATATGTCAAAGATTGAGAGGCAAAACACTTTAAGATGTGTGCAGTATGGATCACACAAATAGTGTTATTTATAGGAAATTGAAATCAAGATGCTACAGCTTTGTCCTTTGCCTAAAGGAATGGTTCAAAATGAAAGCACAAGTTCTTGTGTACATGAAGCTTATCATACGCACGAGACAAAGGAAAAATAATATATATAAATACAGTATAAAATTGCATAGAATCAAACATTTTATATTTAATGAATATATATATATATATATATATATATATAATTATGATATTTTTTAAATAAATTATAAGTTCATGATAAATCAAAAGATTGATAAAAGAAAAGATAGGATATGATTTAAACTTTAGATGTTAAGGTGTTAATACTATCAGGATGGATCCACATGTTTTTGGAGTAATCACATCTACTGAACATTTTTAAAATTTTATATATTTTAAATACTTTTTTTATATTTTATATTAATGATATAATTTTACATGTTTTAAAACTTTAATACAATTTCTTAGTTATACGGAATAAACTTTTAATTTTATTTATAAAATTCAAATATCTGATATGAAATTAACGGGTTTAAGTACCAGTGGCTGTAGAAGGGTGATTAAATGTTTATTGACAAATGATTGAGAATATTTACAATAAATATTAATTTATAATCGACTTAATTTAATAAAAAAACTAATATAACTCAAATGTTATTTTATATTTTTACAAAAAAATTGATTTTAAATCCGATCAATGTTATTTATGGATAAATATCTTATATGTAATGATTTGGACACTAAGCATATATACCTCTAACCTATTAAAGTTTCTCCACTACAGCCTAATTTATTTTATTTTACCTTTTTTTTTTGGTTTGAAAAGCTATATAGCGTCCTTAAAGAACAATTTAAGCTTTATTTGACCAAAAAAATGTCAAACCTCTAGAAAGAGAGAAAAATAATAGAAAAAATTACATTTTGTCTCTTTTAAAATAAAATAAAAATGATAGTTAAAAATCAATATAATAATAAAATAAAATTTTAATACTTATAAAACCCAAAGATGAGTCGCCTAACAATCTATGAATTACAAAGAGTAATACATTACACTAGCACTACTTTCTATTTCATTTAGCCATCATCATCGGAAGCCATGGAAATGGGAAGAAACAAGCCTGGTTGCCATCAATGCTGGCAACGGTTCACGGCGAAGGCGAAATCAAGGTCCAAAGGCACTGATGTTGAATGCCTTTCATGCAGAAACAACTACTTCCCGATTCCAGACGATGAACAACCGAGCCAGTGCCACGGTGGGCTTCGCAGCCGGATGCGAATCTTTTGTAGAGACAAAATCAGAGGAAGGACGAATCAAAGTACGTTAACGCCTTCCCTGAATCTCTCGCACCAACCGTCTTACTCGACCGTAAGGTCGAGCAAGCGTGCAGTGCTGTGCGGAATCACGTACAATAACTGGAAGCAGTATAGGCTTAAAGGAACCACTAACGACGTTAAGAACATGAGAGAGTTGTTGCTCACTAAGTTTGGCTACCCTGGAGACTGCATTCGAGTTCTAACCGGTATTCTTCTATCATTATCTTATTCACTTACGGTCGAACTTCGATTAATTCAATTAACTGGACATGTAGAAGAGGAGACGATCCCACTATTTATACCGACGAGGAAGAACATCGAGGATTCGTTGCGATGGCTGGTGAAGGACTGCCAACAGGGAGACTCGTTGGTGTTTTTCTACTCCGGACATGGGTTACGGGTGCCCGATTTTAACAACGACGAGGCCGATGGATTCGACGAAACCATATGCCCCCTTGATTTCAAAGAAGCGGGCATGATCAAGGACAATGATCTTAATTCCTTCATGGTTCGTCCACTCACTCGTGGCGTTACTCTTCATGCCATCGTTGATGCTTGTCATAGCGGAACCATTCTAGATCTCCCCAAACTTTACAACAGTACAGTGTAAGCTTATTCATCTCGAAACCAGAAAATTTAAATTACGATTTGATTATTTAAATACATTATTATTATTATTATATTATTATTTACAGGAGAAAATGGGAAGACAACGGTTCTCCCTCGGGTGTGTATAAAGGCACAAATGGTGGATTAGCCATTTCCATCAGTGCTTGTCTAGATAATCAAGCCGCTGCTGATACCTCTGTAAGCCATAATTTTTTTTTCGAACACACATTAGTACATTACTAATTATCCTTGAATGAAGCATAAAAGAGTGACATTATTAATTATCCCCGGGGTGCTGCAGGCCTTCACGGCTGGGAAGATGAACGGTGCCCTGACCTACGTATTGGCCGAGATCCTGAAGAAATTGCCCGGTCCGACATACGGCGACTTGTTCGATCTCATTCGAGAAACCATTGACAACGTCAATCAATCCGGATGCCTTGCTAATACAAGAATCTTGAGGAGACTCTTCGATTCCAGTTTCACACAGGTTTGTTCTATTTCTCTCTGGTTCAAGTTAGTTTCATTCGAGTGAATACTCCATTCTAATCGAATTTTACTCATCCCTACGTCCTCGGTTTTACCTTCATCACTTGTACTTATTTGTTATGGTTATGGGGTACGCAGACAGCCGTTCTCTCGTCTTCAGCTGAGTTTGACGTTTACAGGAAGCATGTCTTTTTGTAAGCAAATTTTGCTGCAACATTATATATTGCCGCCTGGGTCAGAGCTGCAACATGTTTGTTCAACGGAGAATGGATCATCATCATTTGGTGATTTCTGGTAAATAATCCGTCATTGTGTGCCTAATATATTTTTTGTTATTTTCACTTGGATTTTTCTGTATAATAAGCAATGACCATTGCCTTCAACTATTTATGAATGTAATTGTTTGGCTCAAATATAATTTGCACTCTAGTGGCGGTGATCAAATATTTATTTTCTTTTTACTAACGATTAACTTTTATTGTGGATTCAATTATGTTATTAAATTGTTAATTCACTAAAAGTAGGATGACACGATAGTTTGATATTGATATGATACCGACATAAAACCTGGGTTATGCTTTGTTTTCATCTTATCATCTTTTTCATCAAAGTAGGGTTTTTCACTTATCTTCATTAGCTGCCCCCCAGAGGGGACTGCCCGTAACTTTATATATAGGGATAGCTACCTATTTGGTCGTTCAAGTTTTAGTTTATTTTGATTTTACTCCTCTTATCTATTGTACTTTGCCTCATTGAACTATAATTCTGGCCTTATCTTTAGCTGTAGTAGAGACATATACTCCACTTACTTAAAACTCATGAAATGAATAACAATATACATGATTTTTTGGATTTGAGGGGTTTGAAGCTTTTGTTCAAAAATTCAAACGATGAGAAATATTTTTTCGAAAATAACATATCTCAGAACTAGCCTCATTAGATGAGTATTACAAGAGACTAGAGTATTAACACATGTTAAACCTTTATATGGACTTCTATCAATTTTAAGTGAATTTTGTGAAAAGTCAATCTAAATATAAAAAAGAGGAGTGAAATAAAAACATTTTTATATTTATCTTACCATAAATGGGGATAGACGACGATTAACATTCAATATTGACATAAAAATTTAATGTCTACAATTAAAGTGTTTTAATATTTACTGAATTCTATGTATATACACACAAATTTCAGTCCAAGAAGCTTAAAGATGATAAAGAATATAGCAACAAAGTTGATTTGACTAGCAATCTTAGCAGACAAGGACGAATCTTATCTCAAAGATATTTGTTCCATATAGAAAAAAAGGTCAAAAAAATGAAACTGAATCCGATTCTTCACTAAGGTCATGGAATGCAACGATAAATTTAATATTTTCAACATCTTACGATTCATCGATCGGCTGCCATGGAAATGGAAAGAAGCAAGGCTTGCTCTCGATGCAGGCAAAGATTTATGGCGAAATCAAGTAGCCAAGGTGCTGGTGTTGAATGTCTTTCATGCAGAAGCGACAATGTTCTGGTTCCGAGCAAAAACCAAGGGCTGCGCAGCCGAATCCGAAGCCTCTCGAGCGAAATAAGAAGTAAGATGCATCAACGTATGGTGGTAACTCCTTCCTTAAATCTCCAGCCATCTGCGTCTTTCCCGACCACGATGAGATCGAACAAGCGTGCGGTGCTTTGCGGAATCACTTACAATAATTGGAAGGAGTTAAGGGTGAAAGGATCTATTAACGATGTCAAGAACATGAGAGAGTTGTTGATTACTAAATTCGGGTACCCTAATGAGTGGATCCGTTCTCTCACCGGTATGAATATGTTCTTACGATATCCATATTTAATTTAATGTTTTTACTGCGATGATTATTCGAGGATTCTTACAGAAGAGGAATTGGACCGACGATTTATACCGACGAGGAAGAACATGGAGGATTGGTTGCGGTGGCTGGTGAAAGACTGCCGGCCGGGAGATTCGTTGCTGTTTTACTTCTCCGGTCATGGGTCACGAGTACGTGATTATAACGACGATGAAGTTGACGGGTTCGACGAAACCATATGTCCCCTTGATTTCAACGAAGCGGGCATGATGGTGGATAATGATCTTAATTCCCTCATTGTTCGTCCGCTCCCTCATGGCGTTACACTTCATGCCATCGTCGATGCTTGTCATAGTGGAACCATTTTAGATCTCACCAAAGTTTACAACAGTCGATAGTAAACATCTTAATCTTTTCTACCAATATCAAATCAAATGATTGAGACACTTGGTTTTTTTCTACAGGAGAAAATGGGAAGACAACAGCCCTCCCTCGGGTGTGTATAAAGGTACAAATGGTGGACTAGCCATTTGCATCAGTGCTTGTGTAGATAATCAAGCCGCTGCTGATACCTATGTAAGTAACCCATAAATTCTTCTTCTTCTTCTTCTTCGTCTGATCAAATACACACCGCCGCATGCAGGCCTTCACACCCGGGACGAAGAACGGCGCTCTGACCTACGTGTTGGTCGAGATTCTGAAGCAATTTCCTAGCCCGACATACGGAGACATATTCGATTTAATTCATGAAGCCCTCGACAACGTTAATCAATCTCGACCTCGTTCTATTACAGGGATCTTAAAAAACCTCGTCGGTAACAAACTCCATTTGTCGCAGGTAAATTTTTATTCCTCTCGTTCAAATTAACACGTGCATGTCCACTTTTAGCATTCAATTCACCCACGTTTCTTATTTAACATGATCTCCCGATATGCATTTCATGGCTTAATTCCTTTGTTTTTTATTTCTATGGGGTACGTAGACACCGATCCTTTCGTCTTCGGTTGAGTTCGACGTTTACAGAAAGCACTTCATTTTGTAAACAAATTCTGGATTTTCCTGTATAATAAACAGTATTGTACGTACGATGCTTCAATGTTATTTGTTGCTTTGTCATCTGTACAATTTTTACCCTGACGATGCCATCAACTATTTATAATTTCAATTTTTTTTATTTATTATATTTAACGCAATTAATTCTAATGAGCATTTTGTTCTTATCAAAAAGGAATTTCTTCTTCTTATTATTACCAATTTGTACCCTGACAATGTAATGCCGCTTGTTAGAAAAATCAATAGAAGCCTTTGATATGATAAGAAACATCAAATAGAGTTTAAAATATTTTCTTTATCTATTTGCTCTAAGACGTACGAAAAGTATTTGATGAAAAAAAAAATTAAGAGTCAATTAACTATATATAACAATGTAATAATCAGAATCTATATAGTTTAAGAGAAAATGAAAGAACCAAAAATGGATTATAAAATGACGTTCTTCATGTCATGACCTCGTTAAATATTTAAGAGTAGATTGATTTAAACAAAAGTAATTCAAAATTAAGTGATAAAATAAAAAAAAATGTTTAAACTTAAATAATCAGAAAAAGAAAGTGGTACATGTTCTAAATATTCTCAATCATTTGAAAATGAATGCTCGATCACCTTCATGCAATCACTTTTGCTCGAACTAGTGAGCTTTAGGAACATCAACGATTCCATTAACCACTGAGGTAAGTTGGTTCATATCGTTATTGAAAATATTTCTATCACCACCACCCTCAAACATTTCATCCATGTCATTTCTTCTTGCAAAACCGCAGGTAGCCAATGTAAAAGGGGGAAGCAAGGGATCCACGGTTTCCGATTAGATTCATTTCAACTTTATCTTGGAAATCACTCTCTTGTTAACTTCAACTTTATCTTGAAAACCACTCTCTTGTTAACTTCAACCTAGAACCAAATTCCCAACAAAGATTCTACTTCTCTGGTCTCTTACGGAAGCTGCTCTCAACCTGGTGTTGGAGGTAGTCTACTATCTTACCTCCCCTTACCCCATACATATGGGAAAAAGGGACAGCCATTTTTTTTCAAAAAGCATACCCAATTGTTCTTTATGTTGAAAAACAATACTACCTTATCGAATCTCATATATTTCAGTCCAAGAAGCTTATCTTAAATATCGTAATGGATAGTCCATTGAAATGAAATCCGGGTTGATATTAAATTTTGAGTTTACTCGTAACGGATATAACAATCGAGTTGATTCGACTAAAACAGAGCACGACGAATCTTATCTACAAGAGCATTTGTTCCACTTAAGAAAGAAAAGAGGAGGCTGAATCTGGTTCTCCACTAAATTTGTTTACAGGGATCGAATACTGTCTAAAATGATGAGACTGGTAATTCTACCTTACACCCTTTAAAGCCTCGCATATGTTCATTTCACTAGACACACACAAAACGACCCAATTCGACAATATATCCCACAAAAACAGCTCCTCCAACAGAAAGATGGCCAGAAGACAACAGTGCAGCGGATGTCTGCAGTACCTGTTGGTTCCACCAGAGGTCCAAACCATTCGTTGTGCTGCGTGTGGAACAGTTGCCAATACGAGCAACACGCCGGCACCGAGTAATGCTAGAGCTCGTTGGGGTCAAGCCCGTGAATTGTTGGTACCGGGACAGATCAGGTTCTTTTAGAGTACTTGGCTACTTGTAAGTCTTTGTTACGTTGTTGTTCGGCATGTTTTTTAACAGTGGCTGCTATTTGGTTACAGAAGCTATCCGGGGTCTGGGACGCATGCATTCCCCTCTGTATACGGTCCTCATCAGCAACAGCCGCTGCCACGGCCTGCCTTATCGCCCGTTTCAGTGCATGGAAGGAAAAGAGCTCTGATTTGCGGATTGAATTACGTTGGCAAGTATTATAGTCTTAAAGGAAGCATTAATGATGCCAAGTGTATGAGGTATCTTCTTGTGGAGAAATTGGGGTTTCCTTTGGACTCCGTTCTCATGCTTACAGGTGCTGTAATTTGATATGGGTTTATGACAAAAAATAAGGAAACTTGGGAGGCAAGGAAACAATTTGTTTATGCTAACTTTAGTTTATTCAATCTGCAGATGATCAGCAAGATCCTTTGTTGAAGCCGACGAAACGGAACATGCGTAAAGGCATGAGATGGCTGGTCTACGGGTGTCAGCCAGGGGATTCGTTGCTGTTTTACTTCTCTGGCCATGGCAGTCAGCAAGAAGATTATAACTCAGACGAGCTCAACGGATATGATGAAGCCTTATTACCTATTGATCACGAGACTGAAGGAGTAATCATCGATGACGAAATCAATGAGATCATCGTTAGGCCACTACCTCGAGGAGCAAAGCTGCATGCCATCATCGATGCCTGTCACAGCGGAACTGTTCTTGATCTGCCTTTCGATTGCAAGATGAAAAAGTCAGCTATTTGTAAAAACTTCTTTTGCTCCACAACTGTTAAATCAATTCAATGAATTTTTAACTCTCTTTTGTAAACTTATGCAGGGAAGGGCATTATATATGGGATGATAAAAGAAACCCCAAGTTTAACAAAGGTACAAGTGGAGGAGTAGCCTTCTGTTTCAGTGCATGTGACGATGACCAAAGAGCTTCAGATACCAACGTGAGTATCAGTGATCTTATTAGATATAATCATGGAAGTTAAACATTAGTACATACAACAGAAATCAATATTTCATTATATATTTTTCGGATATCTATCGTTTGAATCGGTTTATCGGTTTCTTTGAAGGTTTTCTCCGAAACAAAAACCAACACCGGTGCCATGACGTTCTGCTTCATCCAGGCCGTGGAAAACGAACCTGATTTGACGTACGGCCGGCTGCTCATTGCAATCCGCAAAGCGATCCTTCAGGTTAAAGCTTGTTTACGCAAAACTGGCACCATCAAAAATCTGGTTAACAAAGTTTTGCAGAAGTCATCAATTCAGGTATTCTTTTAATCTGAGAAACGCTATGATGTTTTGCATAGAACTGTATGAAAATAATTCTTGATTTGCAGGAGCCACAGCTATCTTCATCGTACCCATTTAACATTTACTCAAAGCGGTTTCTGCTGTAGTAATTCCCCTTCTTCCAAAATTGCCTACAGCTATCTGGCTTGGTAATTATAGTTTGTATATTATCTGGTGTTTGTATGTTTTTTCTTGTATCATATAGATTTCGACATGTTTGTGTCATGTCTAATGTTACTGTAAATGTGTCACGACTACATGAACTTGCTCTTTCATTACACTAAAATGAAGTTTAGTTTTTTCTGGTTCACTTCTTCAATGGAGGATCAAGAGTTTACGAGAATCGGTACACCAGCGAGAATACGAGGCGTAAAGGTTAGGCCAGTCGAGGACGGGGAATTCACAAAGTGGTGGAGCCATAGGGAGAGTACTTGCTCTTGCTCCTCCGGATCTAGCGTTTCCACGGTCTCTTCCAAGACCTTCTCTAGCTCGGCACTTTCACTCATGCCAAGCACCGGCGCATCGGTGCCGTTGCTAGCCCTGCAAAGCAGTGGCAACCACGACTTTAGCATCTTCATCTTCGTTTGCCTGTGGCTCTCTTCGTTGCCTTCTCCGGTCTCTTCCGCTGCCACCTCCATTTCCCTTGTTTGAATAAAAATGCTGCCCATTCGAATAATTACACACAAGAAAACTAAGAACATCAATTTAATAAACCAGAAATTTGAACACCAACTTTCAGAATTAATCACGAACTTTCTTCAATGCCGATTGAAATTCTTATTCACGTACTATCTAAACTGGAAATTAAGAAGAAAAAGGGGAAACATACCCAAAACCTTAACCAGCGTACCCTGAAGCCGAGGCTCAGCCAAGAGCGAATGCAAAGCCAGATTCGAAGCCGACGCCCACCGTTCAACAGCTTCTTCCCCAAACCCAGAGGCAACCATCTTCTCCGCCAACCAAAGAAGCTCAGCCGCCAGCTTCTCAGCCAAATCCCCAGAACGGGTCACATCCTCTCTCCCGCCACCACTCCCTTCCCTGACCCAAACCCCATCCCCAACCGATCGAACCACCCTCAGAACCCTTTTCACCAAAAGCAGGTCGTTTCCATAATAAGCACCAATCCTATCTTGCCCCAATTCAACCATAGCAGCCTCGAGATAACAAAGCGTCCTCGAGAAAGCCGAGGACAAAACCGTCCGATTCACTTCACGCAAACCGTGGGTATCTTCCCTGCGATTCTCTTCTATAAGTGTTTCAGCTAAAGATCGAACAATCACGTACTTTCTCGATCTAACAGGAACGTCATTAACAATCGATAGTACCTGCGAAAGCGCCCGGGCAATCCCGGAATCGTCAGCCCCAGAAGTAACCGCGTAACGGAGAAAACCGGGTTGAGATTTAGGGGGTAAATCAGGGAGGAAAAGAAAAGAGAGTAAGCGAAGGAAGATAAAAGATGTCATAAGAAGATAGCTAATGATTTCCAGAGGCTTGAATTTTTCAGCCAAGTTGAAGAGTGATTTGTCTGCATAAATGAATGCCGAAGATGCCATTGATCGGAGGAGCAAAGGGAGCATGGTGGATGCAGCGTTATCCATCATGTTCATGTCCATCTGCATGGACTTTTCTTATTCTTTTGAAGTTTTCCTATCAATGGAAGGAATACTCAAGTGTTTATAAAGAAGTGGGGAAGAACGAACAAATGAGAAAGTGGGATGAGAACTGGAAATATATTATTTCTTTTTGGATAAACTATACGGGTGGTTATTAACCATTTTGATCACCAATGTTTAAAAGTGATCAATAGGATCACCTAACTTTTTAAAGTGTTCAATCTAATCATTCTTTATTAAAAAAAAACGGTGCATCTGACGTGGCTATTATGAACTAACGGTGAGGCATATGAATGATTTTAATATTATTATTAATGCCAACTCAGAAATAACAAAAATAAACGTATTAAATGGGTGATTAATACTGAATTAAAAAAAAGTAAACATGCATTATCCTCATACGATTCATTATCAAAATGGGTAAACACTAATTTTTTCATACATTTCGTGAAACGATTGAAATCTCTCAAAATGAGTAAACACTTGGTTTTCTCTGGGGTTTAGGGGTTTCATCAAAGATTCAATAAAATGGATAGCAGAAATCATAGAGATGAAGAAGAGTCGAATGCGAGATATGGTAAGTGCTAAATATTTCTTCTTTTAAATTTTCTTCGTTGAAAATTCTTCTAAAAAAAACTTCTTTTTTAGGAGTCTATTATGTTTAAACCCCTAGAAATATGTTTAGGGGTTTTTCCTATTTAAATAGGTTTAGGGTTTTTCCTATTTAAAGTTCTTTACAGAATATCTTGGTAAAAATGTTTAGGGTTTTTTAAAAAATGGTTTAGGGGTTTCTTCTGTTGCAAATGGTTTAGGAGTTTTTTGGTGTTAAACATGGTATAATCTATATGAATGGATTTGTTTACTGATTATATGAATAATTTTTCTCACTGATTCTATGAACATATTTTGTTAAAACCTTGAATTTGTTTACGAGATTTCTTCTATTAAAAATGGTTTAGGAGTTCATTTTGTTAGAATATGTTGCTGATAATATATGTGCCGAGTGTATATGTATTAAAAATGGTTTAGTGGATCTTTTTTTTATGATAATATGTGTATAGATAATTTGTTTATATGAATGATATACTGGTATAAATATGTTTTTGCATGAATTCGGTGAATCAATATTTGTAACGTCCACATGAGTAATAGTATCCCCCACATATGGCCTCCACTTGATCAATATTTGTCATATGTTATATTTGTTTGTTCATATCAGTTTTGCAGTGCACATGTTTAACTTTACAATTATTGTGGTCCCCCAACATGTTTTTTTCGTTATGATTTTTTTTATTAAAAAAATGAGAAAGTTATTTTTGGTCTCTTATTTGAATAATAGTGCCAATTTTTTTTATGAACAAATTCGAAATATGGGAAATTTACAACTGTAGTACATCATGAATTTTTATGTTAGGAGCCTGTGTAACACCTCCAACCCATACCCGACCCGGATATGAGTCAGAGATACTACATTGACTTTAAAACACAACTCTTAATAAATAATAGTAAAATATTTGTACTTGTATTAAGAAAATACAATAATATACATACTGTAATATAAGTTTACCAAAATATTCAGAGCATACACAACTTAACCCTTTAATTACATGCCAACTGCTATCTACATCACAAAATGACCTACTGATTAAGTTGCTTCTGATCTGATGGTTGCAGGAGTAATACTGTCAAGCTGCTTCACCTGTCTCTTCTAATTTCCCGGATCCTACGTGTGAAACACTCACACGCTAAGTCATCGACTTAGTGAGGCAATAATAATAACAAGGCAATGTAATGTAATGAAAATGTCAGGATCATATGAGATGAGATGCAAACATGTACTTAATCAATGTAGTATACTTCATCAATATCCATACCTGTAAGCGTATGACTGTAACATTCATGAATCTGTATTAATAAGTTTATTGGCCCATGATAGCATATTGAGAACCTAAGGTATTGGAGTAATGTGAGGTTGTGCACTATGCTGTCACCACAGCTCGTATAAATGCACCGAAGTGCCCGTAGAATTGCACCGAAGTGCCCGTAGAATTGCACCGAAGTGCCCGTAGAATGATGTCCATAAGGACCACGTAGAATTCCTTAAGAATCATATACATATACTATGGATCAAGTATGTGTCTTTCAAGACTTCACACAGGTTCCAAAGGATATACATATGTCCTAAAGAACCGAGTATACCCTCTACCCTTGGCATGCCAACTATACCTATAGTTCTCATCTACATAACATGGGCTTATACATTTCCCGTAGTTCATATCGCGTAGTCATATTATTTCCATACCTTTATCACATAGACATATCATTTACATACCTTTATCACATAGCTCATATAACTTTTTTTTCTGCATATTCATGTCATGCAATACATATAATATGAATTCATGTCATGTAATACATTTAATATAATATGGAATGTGATCATATGTCAAAATATGGAATCTAGACTTATCACAAGTCTAGAACTGAATATACTACTATATTCATGCTATGCATATGCACTCACCTATACTTCTTTGCCTTTTCCTCGATCGATTCTACTTGTAGATTGTTCCCGAACTCGAGTAGGCTCGGTATCTACATAAACATAATTTTCAAGATGTTCATCAGACGTCTATGTCTTGAAATTAAGCTTTAATAGCTTACTAATTTAAAGAATTTATAGCTTAGTCTTGCTTTCTTTTCTTTCTTCTTCTTTTTCTCATGGGGGAATCGGTTCCCCCCCCTGGGGGTATCGATTCCCCTCAAGCATTCTGGAATTTCATATACGATGAGGGGGTATCGGTCCCCCCCCTGGGGGTATCGATTCCCCTCTAGCATTCTGGAAATCATATTCGTTGAAGGGGTATCGGTTCCCCTTGAATGGGTACCGATTCCCCTAGCCCGAAAATCCTAATTTGAGCTCGGAAATCATCCCATTTCAACTCAAACATACATATTTCAATCCCTTTAATACCCTTAACTCTCATACACTTACTTAAACTAATTATTATCCATTAAATACCTCTAAAACCTAGAAATCTAATTCTCCATGTAGAATTTAAGAATCCAACCCAAATTCCAATATGTTCTAATTTGAATTCTAACACCTCATACTTCTTAGTTAGCTTCTTGACAAGTCAAAAATCTTATTCAAACTTCAAAAACTCATTCCTATCAAAATTTCATCTAAAAATTCATTTTCCAAATCATTCTCTAAAACACTTATCTTGTTGTTTTAATGTCATATAAGCTTTCCTTTAGCTTATATAACATACAAACTTTCATTTCCAATCTTAACAATCAAAGAAACTATCAAGTTCAGTTTCTTACCTTTAATTGCAAGCCCACGTTTGGAGAAGGAAGAGAAGAAAATAAGGAAGAATGAAGAAGAAATGGGAGGTTCTGGAACCTAAAATCACACGTGGTTCTCATATACCCCATAACATTTAATTTAATTAAAATTTCCTTCCAAATGACCATTTGGTCCTTACCTCCATCTCATATTTACCAACCTTTATTTTTAAACTATATAATTATTCTACTTTAATCATCAAATGTTGAAACTTTGCAAATTAATCACTCACCCGACATGGAGGATGTTACAAATCTCTCCCCCTTAAGAAAATTCGTCCTCGAATTTTCATTGCACGAACAAATGAGGGTATTGATGTCGCATATCTTCTTCACGCTCCCATGTTGCTTCTTCTACTTTGTGATTCCTCCACAATACTTTGACCAAAGGAATAATCTTGTTCCTCAATTGCTTAACTTCATGTGCTAAAATTTGAATTGGTTCTTCCTCATAAGTCAAGTCAGGACGAACCTCAATCTCTTCTGGTGTCACGATATGAGAAGGGTCAGATCTATATCTTCGAAGCATTGAAACGTGAAAAACATCATGTATCTTTTCCATCTCAGGTGGTAAAGTTAACTGATATGCTACAGGTCCTACTCTCTTTACAATCTCATATGGTCCAATAAACCGAGGACTCAATTTTCCTTTTCGACCAAATCTCAACACTTTCTTCCATGGAAACACTTTTAAAAACACTTTATCTCCAACTTGAAATTCAATTTCTTTCCTTTTAAGATCAGAATAAGACTTTTGCCGATCAGAGGCCACTTTGAGGTTATGCTGAATTTCTCGAACTTTCTGTTCTACATCTTGAATTAAATCCGGACCAAGAACACTTCGGTCTTTGAGTTCATACCAATTTAATGGAGTACGACATTTTCTTCCATATAATGCTTCATAGGGGGCCATCTTTATACTAGACTGATAACTATTGTTGTAAGCGAACTCTGCCAGCGGTAAATACTTTTCCCATGATCCTTTAAATTCCATTACGCACTCTCTCAACATATCTTCCAATATCTGAATAGTTATCTCTGATTGCCCATCAGTCTGAGGATGAAAAGCCGTACTAAAGTTTAAACGAGTCCCCAACGCTCCATGCAAAGATTTCCAGAATCTAGAAGTGAATCGAGGGTCTCGATCAGAGACTATGGAAACAGGTAATCCATGCAATCTAATAATTTCTCTAATATACAGCTCTGCATACTTTTCCATAGAGAAATCCGTTCTAACAGGGAGGAAATGCGCGGATTTAGTTAATCGATCAACAATTACCCAGATTGATTCTCTTTTGTTCGGAGTCAAGGGTAACCCCGAAACAAAATCCATCGTAACATTTTCCCATTTCCATTGAGGAATGAACAGCGGTTGCAATAATCCTGATGGAACTTGATGCTCGGCTTTGACTTGTTGACATATCAAACACTTAGACACAAATTCTGTGATGCTTCGCTTCATCCCTGACCACCAAAATCGATCCTTCAAATCCATATACATCTTGGTTCCACCCGGGTGCATCGTTAACGGACTGCAATGAGCCTCTGTTAATATTTCTTTCTTCAAGTCGTCATTGTCGGGTATTACAATTCTTCCTTTACAATATAGATTTCCATCTGACTTAATCTCAAAGTCTTTAATCTCTTTGTTCTTTACTTGCTCAATTCTTTTCAA